GAGCCGCTGGGTTACTCTTAAAGACATGAGCGGCCAGGCTCTGCTTACCCGAGGAAGAGCCAAGTCTGAGCCGTCCGTGCCTAAGAATAGGGGCCTCGCCAGCGTGACTGGACAAGCTGGTGCAGAGCGGTGATCGTGTAGATGCACAGTCATATAAGCTTTAATACAACTTTATATGTAAGTGATGACGCTTATTACACTTGAAAGGGTTACACTGACATTGCTGCCCTCAGGGCCGTCTCCTGCCCTTGTTTACCTGTGTTACACCTGGAGGAAAACCATTTGAAATGCACTGCGACCTCGATCAGTTATTCTGTTTTCACATTTTGCTTGGGTGCCCTTGCGCGATTTTCCTCTGTAGCCTGTCTTGTCGCACTGTAATTTGTACATAGTCTGTGACCTTTTATATTCATACCTTATTTTGTATTTCTTTTCTGTACATGTTGAGTGCGATTTTGCATACGTGTTGGAATAAACGCTCTGTCACAATGTCTGCAGCGGTGGGCGTTCTGTTGTAAAGGAACTCCGCATGGCGTCGGTGGAAAACCAGATCACGTGGTTCATGTCGGCGCAGTGTGTACACGCAGCTTTGTCAAAGCTTTTGCCTTCACGCATCCGGCTTCGCAATACACATGAGTCTGGCTTGTTTTAAGTTTAGAAGTCGCTGTTGCAAGTGGCATATTAGCGCACTACTAAATATACATTCTAAGGCCACGTGCATTATCTTTAGTGACGGGGAGTACAGTCAACTGTCCTGTAATGCTGCGGTGGGATGTGGGTCCCAGGAGCGTCTGTGGTAGAGGGAACCCAAAGTGAGAGACATGTTTGGATGCAAGGAAGTACAACCTTCGTGCTACACTACATCCGAGTTGTGCACATCGTGATTGGATATTTTGCATAAACCTTGACAGACTTCCAACTGCCACGTTTCTCCAAAATGTCTTGCAACATTTAAAATATTTTAAAAGGTTTATTGTACCCTAGATCTTTAAGCAATCCTGGGTCCTAGCTGCTGCTGCTCTATAGATCCACAGCACAATTTTATTTGCTTACCCAGGTGAGAACTGGAGCCAAGTAGAGTGTTGCTGTGGTGACGGTTTGGCCTGCGAGGGGAGTAGCTTTCCTTGTGGCCTTCCTGTGCGGGCGCTGATCGTGTGATGAGAACAATGGCTGAATTCAACGAAAGGATGGAAATCCGTAAATGCTTTCTGCATGAGATGATGCTTCACAGGCTGCTGTTGATTATATCTCGGGTTATGTGCAAACTGTGAAGTGCAACATTTCTAATTATCACTCCGTATCGTAGGGTACATTCCCCACAACTTCATCCCCGCGCGCATTCGGCCAAACGCTGTCAACCGACAAACACGTAGCTGTGGTGACGTCTTTCTCAAGGAGAAGTCCGTTCCTTGTGTGCCGATGTGGTTCTACAAATTCCCCACGTTTGAAAAACTATCGGCTGCATTCGGCCGCCTTATTCGAGGTCGTTTCAGTTTCATTTATTTGGTATAGCCCTGTGAGCCATTCGGCTCTTGAATCGGGTGCAACCGCAACAAACAAAAACATGAACAAGAAAACATCTTAAAGTGACTATGCGCAAAGAGAAAAAAAACAGCAAAATCTTCCAGAAAAAAAGCACCGTACACTAACGCTGGGTGCAAAAATTCCAGTGGGATGCAAGTCAACAACAACCACAAGACAGCTTAGATTAAAGCCATCAGTTTAATTCCGTATTACAACAAACAAACATGGCCAAACTTGTTTTGGTGCTTTCGTGACTGCAGGAATTACTCTTTGGTTCTTTCGGTAAAGTCACGTAGAAAGATAAAATTTAATTTATTATTTTTTTCTTTCTACGTGACTTTACCGAAAGAAACAAAGAGTAAACATGGGCAAACCAAAAAACGTCGTGCGTAGGGGTTCTCAGCGCCTCGCCCTTCACCCCCACTGATGGATATCCTCAGACCGAAATGCTCGAATAATTTAGTTGACGGGCAAGCGAAACGCCGAGCTGTTATAATAGATTCCTCGTAAACTACTCAATTGGGATTACACACACAACGATATCGCCGCCGACTGTGAACCTACTGCAGGCTGTGAGCGTCGGCTTGATTGATTACCTTGAGCGAAAGGAAGGAGCCAATACCAAATATGCTCAATTATAATGATTGATAATTATGTATATGACGTGAGAAATCAAGGGACGCGATACAAAGTGTCAGTCATAATAGGGTTGTTCCCCTTTTTTCTGGCAACAAAACTGAAACCTTTTTACAAGGATTAATGTCTGCATTAACCACAATACCTGCAGTCAAAATGCAAACAAAAAATATACTATGATAATATATGCATTGTCCTTGAAACTGATTGGTCCACACCAAGGGACGGCTTTCTTTTGAGCTTCGACCCAATTGGTGCTCGACCAGATGATATATTTTCATAGTATGTTTTTTGTTTGCATTTTGACTGCATGTATTGTGGTTAATGCAGACATAGTTCATCGTTTCATTTATTTGGTATAGCCCTGTGAGCCATTCGGCTCTTGAATCGGGTGCAACCGCAACAAACTAAAAACATGAACAAGAAAACATCTTAAAGTGATTATGTGACTGTGCAAACAGAAAATCTAGGAAAAAACATCAAAATATTCCTGAAATAGCACCGTACACCAACGCTGTGTGCAAAAATTTTAGTGGGATGCAAGTCAACAACAACCACAAGACAACTAAGATTAAGGCCATCAGTCTAACTCCGTACTACAATAAACAAAAACATGGCCAAACAAAAAAAAACTTTTTGAAATCACCAAAATAAAAGCCATAAATGCAATGTTACGGACCAGCAGCGGGGGGGGGGGGGGGGGGGGGAGTAGAGTGAGTGAGTGGGGTGAGTGGAGTGAGTGAGTGAGTGGAGTGAGTGAGTGGAGTTTACAAATTGAGCTGCACTTGTGGTGATTGCTATATCGGGGAGACGAAGCGACATGTCTCTGACCGAATTCGCGAGCACAAATCAGATTTGAAACACGGCAGAACGAATTATTCTGCCGTAGCTGACAACTGTTACAACGCTGTGGGTGATCACGATATAGTTTTCTCCGATACCAAGGTTCTCTGCAAACCCACGGGTTTTTATCAGAGATTTGTCCACGAGGCAATTCAGATTTACAAACACAGACACAATTTCAACCGAGAGGATGGTTTCAAATTAAGTAATCACTGGAAAGATGTTCTAAATCAAACCAAACATTAAACTAATTTTCAATGGTACAGTATTTTTTTTTTCAAGTAGTGGTATCCCAAACTTTCACAGCTGCTTATTTCTCTCCACTCACTCAGTCCACTCCCTCACTCCACTCACTCCACTCACTCACTCCACTCACTCCACTCACTCACTCCACTCACTCACTCCACCTACTCACTCCACTCACTCACTCCACTCACTCCACTCACTCACTGCACTCACTCACTCTACTCCCCCCCCCCCCCCCCGCTGCTGGTCCGTCATGGTCCCCACCCGCTCCTGGTCCATCATGGCCCATGCACCTCCAACGTACATCATGCTAATTTGTATGCTAATTCCTTTGTCAAAGCGTTTTGCTTCCTCCCACACAGCTTAAAGGACGCGACCTGGGCTTGGCTGTTTTCACTCCAACGCTGTCCTCATGACAGCACGGTCCCTTCACCTGATGAAGGCCACTTGTGTTGTGGCCGAAACGTCGTGATTTTTGTTATTTTATTTTTTTCCTACGTGACTTTACCGAATAGAACCAAAGAGTATGGATCCTTGCAGTCACGAAAGCTTCAAATCTAGAATCAACTAGCTGATGTTGTAGTTTGTTGAAATCACCCTGGAGATTAGCAATCACGTCATGCGGAGAGCGGCCAGCAGTAATCAGTATCGTGTCATCTGCAAAAAGATTTACCCTGGAATGATCTAGGTCAGTGCCCAAGTCATTGACATAAAGAGAGAACAAGAGGGGGCCGAGGATGGAACCCTGTGGAACCCCTTTTGTTATCTTAACACTTTGACCTCCAACCATCTGTGAATACAGTCCATTCACCCAGGTGAGTGGAGGTAATCCTTGTAAAAAGGTTTCAGTTTTGTTGCCAGAAAAAGGGGAAAAACCCTATTATTACATTTTGGTACTGGCAAAGGAGGTCTAATGATGTAAAGTGTCAGTCATGAAGGACAGGGACGTCAGCGGTGTGGTCATGAGCATGACATAAACACCGTGGAGGGAATTTCACGGCATCGGTTGAGTTGTTGCCTTGAGCGTTTCAGAGCGCCGCCTGTGCGCCAAAACAGTCGCAAGGAGGGTGATGGAGGTAATTGAAGCGCACAGCCCAGACGCCAAGTGTCGGCTTTGTTGATTGAAGCGCATTGCACACTCACGAATATGGATTCCCTTTTTCGGGTCACCAATGCTACCCATTAATTCGTACATCACCGACCAGATCGCATGATCCATAGTCACAGGTTTATGAATGTGTACAAATACTTGTTCTGTGCTTGTATCTCGATGTCAGACAGAGCCGGCAGCTGTCTCATCAACGTGAATGGTACAGAGAGCGGCTCTGTCGCGTGGCACGCATTGCGAAATCAACACTCGCTCCAGCCAACCCTTCACCCTCCAGCCAGCCCCTCGCCCTCCAGCCAGCCCCTCGCCCTCTAGCCAATCCCTCACCCTGAAGGATTGGCTGGAGGGATAGAGGGAGTGAGAGAGGGAGGGAGGGAGATAGGGAGGAAGAGAGGTGTGGAGGGAGGAATGGAGGCGAGGGAGGGATGTAGGGAGGGATGGATTGAGGGAGGGATGGATGGAGAGAATGATGGAGAGAGGGAGCGGGAGGGATGGAGGAAGAGAAGGGAGAAAGGTGGGGGTGGAGAGGTTGAGGGGGTGGAGAGGGAGGATGGAGGGAGAGGGGGAGGGAGAGGGGGAGGGAGGGGGGATGGAGGGAGGGAAAGTCTCCCTACTAATCCCAGGGCTGGGCAGATGGAGGGTGACCCAGGAAGTGGATGGTGCTGAGCTTCACTAGGACACGCCTCCACCCCCGCGCCGCGTCCTTCACTCGTATCCCTCCCCAAGCTCCTCCATCTGGCGCGCACCTCCCGTCCCCATTGGCTCCCTCTTCGTCTCCACCTCTCTGTCTCTCTCTCTCTCTCCATCTCTCCCCGCGCGCCCCTTTGGCCGAGGCGGAGAAGAGCGGAGCCGCCTCGCACCCGGGTGAGTGGAGGAGATGCGGGGAGCCGCTCCCAGCGAGCCCCATCAACCCCCCTCCCAGGCGGGGGAGATGGAGCGAGTGGGGCGGGCGCACCGCGGCGCTGTCCTCTATTTGTTTTCATCCCGGCATGTGATCCGTGTTGTTCTCTCCGTGTCTGTGCAACTGCATCCCCTGCATGTGGCGTGTGTGTGTCTCTCTCTTCGTCTGTCTGTCTCCCTTCGTGCTGCCCCGCCATCTCGCCGCGCGCGGTGCCGCTATCTTCGCGCGTCGATCCAAGCACAAACAATCTGCGGGGACCTCCACAGCGGAGACGGAGCGCGGATAGCGGCGCACTTCGCTCCCCGCGGGCATTGTGCAGCTTCGCATGTGCGTGTGTGTGGGTGCAGCTGACAGTACCTGCCCCAAGTCATGTAATGTGTGTTGGTGCGGCACCATGAGCTGGGGGAGTCTCACGAGTGGGTGCAGACTGTAGTGTCGACTGTCATGCTGTGTATGAGCCCCCGCTGCAAATGTCACCCAAGATGATGATAATCGTAACCATCAGCTGCTGTTGCTGCTGTTGCGTAAACAGCGGAGAGCGCCCATCCACCCCAACATTCACGCAGTCGGACGGAGTGCAGCAGAGCTCTCTTCACAAAGCTCTCTGTGCGACCAGCTGTTGGGGAGCAGCGTGCTGAGTGCAGTGCGCTGTTTCACAGCAGGAAACTGTGCAGAATGCTGTGTACATAATCGAAGCAGTAGAATGTAGTTTCACGGTGTGCAGCATGCTCTCTGTCCCTGTGTGCAGGTATAGCTGTGCGTGTACAGCAGTCTCAGACTGCAGCGTGCTGTCTGTAAATAATAGCAACCGAGGCAAGAGTTGCAGACCCAACCACGTTATCCTGTCAGCCGTGTTGCTGTACACCACTGAGCGAGGCCGGATAACTTGGCAGCATTTATTTAACAGGCCACGCCCTGCTGATGAGCACACGCAACAACAAAACAACACATTAGTCAATTACACTGTGGCCTGAAAAGGAAACGTATATACAGTAAAAAGGCAACGGTTCGGGCCATAGCCCTTTTCATAGCACATATATCGGGTTCTGCTGATGAAGGTCCGAGAGTTTGAAGTCGGTCTAAGATTTGCGGTGTAGCTGTAAATCGGTGGTTTCAGGAGACGCAGAGGCCAATGGTGAGACAAACACGCGCGCGGCGTGGTGCCCAGAGAACAACGCAAGGGAGCCCTGCACGTGGGATGGAGCCCTGCACGTGGGATGGAGCCCTGCACTGCTCCCTGCAGGACTCCCCTCCCGGCTCCCCCCTCCCTTCCAGCTCCCCCCTCCCTTCCAGCTCCCCCCTCCTTTCCAGCTCCCCCCTCCCTTCCAGCTCCCCTCTCACTCGCCTCCTCCCCTCTCCCTGCACAGCTCTCATCCCTCCCTCTGACCCTCTTCCTTTGACCTTCTCCCTGACCTCTGTTTGACCCCTCCTTTCCTTTGAACCCCCCCTTCGCCACCTCGGCCCCCTCCCTGACTTCCCCACCACACACGGCAAACGGTAACCGATTTTCGCAATCGGTTACCGGTTACAGGAGTGAGGAACCGGTAACCGATTCAAGCGGAATGTTTAGTGATGAATGCACCAATAGGCACGCGGGAACGCACAAACGCCACGGCGATAGGGCTGAGTCACCCCGCGCTGGGCATTTGAACCATCGTTCTCTGTTAAAAGGCAAAAGCGCGGCCGTGCAAATCGCTTGCTCACGTCGCCATTTGGCCTACTCCTCCACGTTGACCAAACATGTTGGAAAGTGGTGGGAATACCCACACTTTACCCCACCACACGCGATCTGCCGATCGACTAACTGCGTTGCACCCATTTACACTGCTGGGTGGACGCAGGCAGTGGAGGGGGTTCAGGAACCTGTCCCATTGTTTCAGCTGCCGCGCCGGGAGATGGAGTCTAAGCGGCGACCTCTGCCTGCACGGCGAGCTCGGTGTGCCGCTCACCAATGCACCACCGTGGCACCTGCCATGAACGAAATCCGTTAACCGTTTATTTTCGTTCCTTTAATGCGGTTACCAGTAACGCAAACAGCCATTTGTAACCACCCCAGTCTCAACCCCATGAGAGTCCAACACCCAGCGCGCTTGTGCGGAGTGGGTCAGGGCGGGGGCTGTGCAGAGGTGGCCACGCGTGGCCCCTCGTGCTGTGCTGTGGTTGTGTGAAGAGGCACTGACGAGGAGTGAGGGACCCATGCGGTGATGTGCTCACTCACGTGGCGCGCCGATGTGGTGATGCGGTCACGTGATCCATATCATCCGTGATTAACACAGGGGTAACACTGCGACTCACACACACACAGGGGTAACATTGAGACTCACACACACACAGGGGTAACATTGAGACTCGCACACACACAGGGGTAACATTGAGACACACACACAGGGGTAACACTGCGACTCACACACACACAGGGGTAACATTGAGACTCACACACAGGGGTAACATTGAGACACACACACACACAGGGGTAACATTGAGACACACACAGGGGTAACACTGCGACACACACAGGGGTAACATTGAGACACACACAGGGGTAACACTGCGACTCACACACACACAGGGGTAACATTGAGACACACACACACAGGGGTAACAATGGGATACACACACAGGGGTAACATTGAGACTCACACAGGGGTAACAATGGGATACACACACAGGGGTAACAATGGGATACACATACAGGGGTAACATTGAGACTCACACAGGGGTAACATTGAGACACACACAGGGGTAACATTGAGACTCACACAGGGGTAACATTGAGACTCACACACACACAGGGGTAACATTGAGACTCACACAGGGGTAACATTGAGACTCACACAGGGGTAACATTGAGACTCACACAGGGGTAACATTGAGACTCACACAGGGGTAACATTGAGACACACGCAGGAGTAACATTGAGACACACACAGGGGTAACATTGAGACTCACACAGGGGTAACATTGTGACTCACACAGGGGTAACATTGAGACACACACGCAGGGGTAACATTGAGACTCACACACACAGGGGTAACATTGAGACTCACACAGGGGTAACATTGAGACTCACACAGGGGTAACATTGAGACTCACACAGGGGTAACAATGGGATACACACACAGGGGTAACATTGAGACACACACAGGGGTAACAATGGGAAACACACACAGGGGTAACAATGGGAAACACGCACAGGGGTAACATTGAGACACACACAGGGGTAACAATGGGATACACACACAGGGGTAACATTGAGACACACAGGGGTAATAATGGGACACACACACGTGCGATGCATGTTATACTGTGTATGTATTGTGTGGGTAATGTGAGTGTTGTGCGTGATGTAGGCATGGGATGTAGTTGAACGCGATGCGGCAGGGCGCTCGCCCTGCGCTTGACCCACGGCGCTGTGAGCAGCGCTGCTGCCGCTGCCGCTCCTCGTTAGCATTCAGTGCAGCGCGGCCACAGCGGCAGGGTGCGTGCAGGGGTTGCAGCGATCGTGACGGCGATTGGTGATGTGTGTGACGTGATGTGTGTGCGATGTGATGATGATGTGTGTGCGGTGACGTGATGGTGATGTTTTGTACAGTCGCTGTGTAATTTCAGCCTGAAACGCGGTCCCATGAATAATGTCGTCTCGTCACATCCCTCTCGCCTGAGAATGTCCTCGTGATGTTGCAGTGGGGTGCTGGTGCAGTGGGGATCGCGCCGTGTGCGATGGTGATTCTGTGGTTGTGAGTGTTCCGTAGCGAGTCTGCTGTGGCGATTGTGCAGTGGTGTGTGTGCGGTCGTGAGTGTGGTGCTGTGGGTGGTGGCGTGCCTAACACGTGCGTGAATAGTGCTCAGGGTAACCAGATGCTTTGAAGGACGGTACTTAAACATCGGGTACAATCGCGTACGGTTATGGATAGGCGTCGTACCTTGTACTCGTCCAATGGTGGTGCCTTCAGTAATGTGAGGGATGTGTGTTTATATGGTGATAAGAGAGGTGTGTGGTGGTGTGTATCTCACACATTTGTCACTGGGTGCTTCGAGTTTATGTGAATGATGAGAAAGATGCCAAATCTTGACTTTTGTAAGCATGCCATGTGTGCACGTCTGTGTGATGTGTGTGCATATTGTTTGATGTGTGTGCATATTGTTTGATGTGTGTCTGTCTGCTACACCAGAGGTGTAGAGACATTTTAAAGGACCTACATCTCTGCTTTATTAATCTGGTCAAGGCCTATGATATCAGCAATAGGCCAGGGCTATGGGTCATGCTTCATGCTTTCAGGGTCCTTGACCTGCTCACAATCATTAAGGACCTTCACAATGGTGGCCAGGCCCGGGTAAAGCTGCGTGGCCTGGAGTCAGAACCATTCCCTATTCAGCTTGGGGCGTGACAGGGATGTCCTCTGGCTCCTACGTTATTTAATATATTTTTCGAGACTGTTCAAAAAACTTTCCATGGCTGTACCGGAGGAATTTCCATCTGGTGCAGATATAATGGGAGGCAGATCGATGCATGTGCGCGGTAAAGGCATGGCTCCCTATTGATCAACCATATAATGTATGCTGATGATCTGGTAATTGCTGCTCACTCTGAAAATGAATTTAACCAACTGCTGCTAAACCTGGAGCATACCATCAGCCCCACAAACACTAAGCACCTGCCTAGGTATTTTATGTCATAAAATACTCCACCCCCTCAACTTCCCATGAATGATGGAGTAGTTGTGGAGAGAGTGGCGCTGTTTTTATACCTGGGCAATGTGCTTATAACCAGGTCCAGTTTTTCAGCAAAGGTCTCACTCCAAATCAGGCGAATGGCATCTTATCATCAGCTGAATTACACGACCTGGCCTGTGACTGCATATGAAGCCGTAGGCTTGTGAAACGTGGACCCCTCGAATGGAACATCTGTGCCAGTTTGAAACATTCAGGCTAGCTTGTCTGCGATCCATCTTGGATTTAACCAGGCTGGATTGTGTAAATACTTTGAAAGATCTGGACACTTCCTATTGATGAGCTCATCCAGCATGCTGCGTTGGCTGTGTCGTGTAGCCTGCATGCTCAGCCACCGGATTCCCAATCAGATTCTGTTTGGCTGGATAAATAGGACTAAACTGGTGTGGAATAGGTTAGAACAGATGGGCTGATAGGTACAGGATGTGAAGCTGAGTGGACTTGCCGATGACTGATATCAGCCATGTCAAGATTGGCACGGCTGGTAAGGATGCTACTGGGCAGTTGGAGGTAGTCACCCTCCAACAACAGCGAAGGGAAGAGGAGCGGCGCTTATAACGACGAGCAGAGTGCTGGGCAGATATAACACATCGAGTTGGGACATTAGGCGGCACAGGTGGTGCATCTGTCAGTCATCTAAGTCCTTCAACCCATTGGCACCTCGGTCCATCCCATGACCTCCTGCCAGGAGCGAGCTTCACTTGGTCTCAAAGTCCAACGAGCCTGGCACAAGTGCTATGGTGACGTCACCATCACTTGCACCAACAACAGCCACTTGGTAGTGGCTGTTGTTGGTGCAGGTGGGGAGCGGTAGTGTAGTGGCTAGGGTGCCGTGCCACGAACCCAGCGTCGGAAATTAGAGTCCCGCTCACGGCCAACACTACTGATGATTATATTAACCAGTCGTGGGCCTCAAATTAGTACCTCGTGCGATGTGTAAATATTGGCATGAGGGAGCCAAAGGTGGCCACGCGTGGTGCTGACCACCCAACCCCTTATGGGCCGTGCCGGCCTTCATAGGTATTCGCACCTCCGATTAGAAGTTCAACATACATATACATACATCGGTGTTTGCTAACAGCACTTTCCCCAACAGTCTGTTAAAGGCTATACGGTCAATCTGTGTCTTTGTGTGGTGTGCAGTGCGGCACGAGGTGTGAGCTGTGACCCAGTGCACGATGTCTGTGACTTACGATGACTGCGCGGGCGTGGAGACATCAAGCGAGAGCTTCTGGGAGGTGCAGGGTACACACACAGACGTGTACACACGCGTGTACACATCACATAATGGAAGAAGGCCTGCCCACGACATGGCCACCTCACTCATGGTCCAGTGCCACTACCATCCACCCTACTCCTTCTGCACGCGGACCAATCTCATTGCTCCGTCTCCACGGCAGCTGTGCTCTTGGGAACGATCGCTGGACATCTGCTAAAAAGAGATTCCTAGCTCATCGGATTCCTCCAGCCTAAATAAAGATTATAATTCTGACTCCTGTGGCTGCCATTCCATCACCGGTCTCCTCCATCACGCCCCACCCTGACAGGTGGGGAACTACAAGCGGACGGTGAGACGCATCGACGACGGATACCGGCTCTGCAACGACCTCATGGCCTGCATCCAGGAGCGGGCCAAGATTGAGAAGGTCTACTCCCAGCAGCTCACCGACTGGACCAAGAAGTGGAAAACGCTGATCGAGCGTGGTGAGATGCGCCACAAAGTCCCATGGCGGTTCGAATCCGGCGGCAGCCCTGGTTATCACTGTGGTGTTTGATAACCGTAACATTGCTACGTGCCACCTGCTTCCCAGGAGACGTTAAATATCCCCTTCTGTCATTTTCAAGGGTAGGCCATCGTGTGCTGGCGTCGAGGTAGAAATTTTCCCATTTGAAAATCTACTCAATGAGTATCATACACACAAGCAATCATCGCCTCCTACTGGCAAACTATGCCTGTAGGCATGCCAGCTGCTGCAAGTAGGGGGCACCCTTTCTGACGCATTGAGCTGCTCTCGAGTTGTGTGCCGCGTGTAAAGCGCTCTTGAGACGCCGCCATGGCGTGAATGAACCATCGTCATCATCTTCACACACATCTCTCTCTCACACCAGGGCACGACAGGACTCCCTACACCAGCAAAGACAAATCCCCCGTCTAGCCTTAACAGACTGTTGGGCCAAATGCTGTTAGTGAGCACCTATGAAGGCCTGCATGGTACACGAGGGGGTGGGCGGCCAGCACCAAGCTCGACTACCTTTGTTTCCCCAGAGGGGATGTTTACTACACACCGCACCAGGTACTCATTTGAAGCTGAGTCAACGTAGCGGAAGTCGAGAACCAGTTCAGATATTCGTTACTGGTATTGACCGTGAGTGGGAATCGAACTCGGGTCGCCCGGTTAGAGTAGATGCCTATAGGCAACACCGCGTCCTCACAGTGTACTGACTGACGTCACACGCAGTGAACGAGTAGAGACGCCTGTAGGTGCGGTTTCGGCTTGTCCGGCTCATCTCAGTGAAACGCCGGTGGAAAAACACCACCCATGCCGTATTGGCATGGCTCGGGTGTGCAGGAGAAAGTGGTATCGGTGGCGAATGGCGCTGGTGGTGGCGGCCGCCGCTGTTGTGGTCGTTGTGTAGGCCCGCAGTACGGCTCCATGGAGCGTGCGTGGCAGGCCCTGATGACGGAGGCCGACAGGGTAAGTGACCTCCACCACGAGATGAGAAACCAGATCAACAACGAGGACCTGGAGAAAATCAAGAACTGGCAGAAGGACACTTTCCACAAGCAGCTCATCGGTGGCTTCAAGGAGACCAAGGAGGCGGAGGACGGCTTCCGGAAGGCGCAGAAGCCCTGGGCCAAGAAGCTCAAGGAGGTTCGGAAATAAATCATGCCTTTGAGATTAAAATAATTGTGGGTGAAGTCCTGCGGCCTCCCTTTCTCATGGCTGCAGTGAACTCGCACCACTCACTAGAGGCGATACAGAACGCACGTACTAGTATTGTGTGTGTACCCCGTGTGTGTGTGTGTGTGTACCCCATGTGTGTGTGTGTACTCGGTGTGTACACACTCTGTGCGTGCATACCCTATCCGGTTCACGGCGCAGCTGGAGGTGCTCAAGAAGGCTTACCATCTGGCGTGCAAGGAAGAGCGTTTGGCCGTGAGCCGCGAGACCTCCACCAAGAGCGACCCCGCCGCGCCGCCCGACCAGGCGAAGAAGCTCTCGGACAAAGTTGAGAAGTGTCGACAAGACACTCAGAAGGTGTGGGGCACAGCGTGGGTAACGGCGGGGAGAAAGGGCACGATTGGCGCCTAATCTTGCATCAAACTGACCGGCATCACCTGCTGGTGAGATCCGTGAAGTGGAAACCGGTCCAGGGTTTTGTTTGATTAAATTATGCTGCTCGATGATATCGGTCTGGAAAGCTCCTGGGCCGATGTGGAAGCACGATACAGTTTTGCGCATATTGCCTCTCATTAACATTGGCTCAATTACAGCAATAACGTTTGGGATGATAGTTGGTGCCTAGCCATGAGGTAGTGAGGTCGTGGTGCAGAATGAATGAATTAATGAATGGAGGGATGATGGTCACCACCCATGTGCTCTGTAGAGGACGCATTGGGCATTGTTGCTGTGAAATCATTCTGAATGTGCAGAACGTTCAAACCGAGTACCATACGCGAGGCATTTAGCGCAGAGCTGAGAAAGTATATCGTGTGAACTTGTGCGTGCGTGAAGGAGCCACACCAGGATGAGCAAACATCCGTGTGTCTGCTGATGCCGTGTGACTTAATCCCCTGACACTTGTCTCATGTTGTCTTTTGAAAGTAGAATTCTCGATTTCAAGACGACGTCTCTTATCCCCATGACTACCGAGCAGTTTAGACGTTTGCCCGTCCACCCATCGCCCGTGCAGTTCTCAGTATCCAGAGACTCGTTATCTTGTTATCTCGCCATTAACTCTGCGGTGGGCTGTACGCGGTGTGGTGTACCAGCAGTGTCAAGATTGGCCTCTATGGAAGAGGCTCGCGCAGGTTGCTACTGGGTAGTTGAATGCAGTCGCCCTCCAGCAACAGCGGAGGGCGGATGAGCGATGCTTACAACAACGAGCAGAGCACCGGGAGTCTAAAACACAGCAATTTGGCACAGTAGGGGGCATAGGTGGTGCATCTGCCAGTCATCCCAGTCATTCAATCCATGGCACTTCAGTCTTTCCCGTAACCTCTTTCCAGCAGCGAGCCTTCCACATATCACGTGGCCTCAAAGTGCACCTGGCCTGGCACAGGCGCCGTGGTGACGTTACCGTCACTTCGTGGCCAATGGCGGGTGTGTGGTGTGGGTGTGGTGTGGGTGTGTGCTGTGTGTGTGCGGTGTGTGTGCTGCGTGTGTGTGGTGTGTGGCGTGGGTGTATAATAAAATAGGAGCGTGAACAGTGAATAGTGCTCAAGGTTACTAGATGTCCTGAAGGACAGTAATTGTTACTTCCTTGTCCATTAATATGATACACTATCCTTTATAAGGATGCACAAATGTCAGTAACGTTAAAGCACGGGACGTGTGATGTTGCACACTGGAAAATATGGAGTGGGAAACGTAGCCGTGACTTGGCTTCACACAGCGGCACCTAACGCGCCTGCGTCTCCAGATGCTGCGCTCGCACAGCACGATGCAGGCACCCTGGGGACACGGTCTTTAGTTAGAGAGAGAGAGAGAAGGCAGCTGGTCATGTTGTGCAGCAGGGAAAGGTCTTGAACCTGGACTTGAACAGGGGGTAGGGAAACTGTGGATATCTGTGTGAGTCCCTCTTTGGGTCTCTATGTGAGGCAGGGGAGAACAGAACGGTTTTGATCCTGGACTTGAACAGGGGCAGAGTTTACAGCACGGGACGGCAAAGGAGAATGAGAGACCTCCCACTGAGCTTCGACACAAAGCCTCGGTTGCCGGAGTGGAGGGCAGTAAGTGAGATGAGTGGGGAGAGTTTGGCATTGGTGAGTATGGAAGATCTTGAAGATGGTGAGTGCGATTTTGTAGTTGTTCCGGGAGTGGATGGGGAGCCGGTGGAGAGTATTGCGGAGGAGTTTGGCAGTAAAATTGTGAATGACCTGAAGTTTGGAGCCGAGGGGGAAGGGACAGCTGAAGGAATGATAAGTCAGTAAATAGGCAGGGGTCACTGATGTGGCTGCTGCTGTTAAAGCAGAGGACATCGAGTAGGATTATGCAACAGGACTCATCATGGGAACTGTTGATGAGAGATGAGAAGCAAAACTCGCTATGGAGTGAAGATTGAGTGCCGGGAAGAGAGGGAAAGGGAGATGGCGGAAGGGACAGCAGCAGAGAGACGACATGATACCGGAGTTGGGAGGTCACGACCGGGCTAGGAGTCGCTGGGGAGAGGAGGGAACACAGGAAAATACCTTTCCCCAGCAGTGGGGAGTTACCGGCCGACAATAACAACACACAACAACTTGGCACTCGTCTACAGGTAGTTGCGGTAGTCAAATGAGGATGCGACGACGATGATGATGAGGGCTCTCCATTCACAGGCAAAGGAGCGCTATGATAAGGGGCTGGAGGAGATGGGCCGGCACACGCCACAGTACACGGAGAACATGGAGGCCGTGTTCGAGACGTGTCAGCAGCTGGAGCTCAAGCGCCTCTCCTTCCTCAAGGAGGTGCTCATGGACATCCAGCGCCACCTCGACCTGTCCACCAATTGCAGGTGAGAGCTCGGCCTCGGCTCGGCCGGCCCCCGGGCAGTCTGCTCTGTGGCCTCACGACAGGCGGAGTTTTTTGGTCGCCACAGAAACGGAGGGATGCAATCATTTTAAACATTACTATTGCAACGTCGCCGCCCTGCTGCGCATGTATTGTGACGCACACGCCGTGTGTTTCATTGATAGAGTAGTGAGTGGACTTAGCCTACAGTTATTGGGATGGAGGTGAAAACCAAGTGGACGGTGGAGTTATGGGGCCGCATGCGGCATCCTACACCTGGGCCTCCAGGAGCCCACCGACACAGCACAGCCTGCAGCCTGTTGGCAAATAGGCAGCGCAGCCTACATCCAGGCAGCACAGCTTCCAGCCAGCCTCACAGTCCAGCCTAAAGCTGGGCAGTGCAGGCTGTCGAGCTGTGGACACAACCACCGAGCGACTGTTGGATCCCTTCGCGGGGATGTGAGGTTGGGGCGCGAGGCCAGGAGCCCGCACAGTGGTGTTGTGTTTAGTGGTGTTGTTTAAAGTGTAGTTCTGTGTAGTGGTGTTGTTTGTGTTTTATGTAGTGGTGGTGTTTGTGTTGCGTGTAGTTGTGTGCAGTGGTGTGTTGTAGTGTAGTTGTGTGTAGTAGTGTTGTTTGTGCCTCGTGTTTCCCAGCTACGCTAACGTCTACCGGGATTTCCGGCAGTCGATTCTAACGGCGGACGAGCAGGACGACCTCAAGTGGTTCGCGGCAAATCACGGCACCGGCATGGCCACGAACTGGCCCGCGTTCGAGGTGAGACGAGTCCACTCCGCCGCCACAATCGTCAGCGGCCACGCTCGATCCACTGCCGGATGAGGGCCTTGCCAAGCAGCCACCAACAATTTACGATCCCCGTCGTGCCAACTCGTTGTATCACTCCGTCTCCTCATAGGGCACAACCCCGGGGCTTGTTCCATCATTCATATTTGCCGCTGGCCGGCATCCCTCCGAGCCGTAGTGACACACCGTGCCCACACCCGCTTGCGTTCGGCAATCGGGCGGACGATGTAATCCACCTGTGGTTCCGCCACCGTTTGGCTGATTTGAGCGGTGACATCGCCGCTACCAACGGTCGACTCGGTGAAGCAAATCCATGGTCATCTATTGATAGTTACCCCACTCGGATCATAATCTGGGGAAAGAGCTCTGGCGCGCACCTTGGGGTTGCGCCGCCGCACCGTCCAGCACGACGTTTGAGATTTTGCCCTACGCTCTGGAAGATATAGCCGAAAGTGCTATCTCTGGACGGTGAATCCGGTGTGCGAACCGTTGGCGTGGTGGTGCCTGTTGTTCGTAAAAAAATAAAATCCGAGAAAAAGAGAGCGACGGGATTGCAAACACGGACGCGTGTTTGTGGGTGGCAGGAGTACTCGCCGGACGCTCCACAGACCACGAACCGCAAGGAGAAGGGGGGGCCACGCAAGATGGCTGAGGGGGGGGTGGCACAGGGCGCCACGGAGTCGCCCAGCGCCCACGGAGGCTCGGCACGGTGAGTGCAGCGCAGAGACACCCAGAGCGGAGACGCCCAGCGCAGAGTGCGACACTGACAACAACAACCAACAAGCACACTCAGCACAGCAAAGAGCAATTGCACACATACCAACCACACCAACCATAGATGTACACCCACTACTCACACTGAGCACGGAAAGACACACGCGCCACCGTTATATTACCTATATGTTGCGGAGACACGTGCAACTACAGCCATACACATCAAACTCAGACTAATCTAGTTGCCTTACATTTTTTAAAAATTCATAAACCTTGTCCAAGATCCCACAAGTTAATCTCGCTTCCCTGTGCCATCACTCACTGCACGTTGCACAACTAAATCACGTGCATATGCGCGCGTGTGTATATGTGTGCTACGATGCGCCAGGCGGCTAAAATGCAGCAAGGTGAGACAGTAGGGGGCACAGCTGGTGCATCTGCGAGTCATCTCCGTCAGTCAAGCCATGGTACCCCTGAGTATGTCGCGTCGTTTGTCAGCAAGCCTTTGACATTTCACGTGGCCTCAAAGTGCACCTGGCCTGGCACAGGCGCCGTGGTGACGTCACCGCTACTTAGAGGCAAATGGCGGATGTTGTTGTACTACACACCCGGCAACCTAAGTTCGATTCCTGCTCACGGCAACACCAGTGACGATTATCTGAACCTGTTTTGGGTCTCCCCTAGGTCGACTCGGCCTTAAAGGAGTACCTGGTTCGGTGTGTACATTGTCACTGGGGAGACAAAGGCGGCCACCTATCCTCTCGTGTACTGTGCCGACCTTAATAGGTGCTACGAGCTAGCAGCACTTGCCCCAACAGTCTGTCGAGGCTATAAGTGAGATCTTTGTCTTTGTCTCACGCGCCGCGAGTCTCAGCGCGAGCACGAGCGAGGCATCCGGCCCGGCGGACTGGTCCGATGACGACACGCCGGTCGCAAGGGGGGGTTCTACTGGGGGACGCAGCAACGGGGATAAGAACCCCTTCGATGAGGCGGACGGGGGGTGCTCGGCCGGCTCCGGGAATGGCGGGGGCCGAATCCGTGCCCTCTACGACTACCAGGGCCAGGAGCAGGACGAGCTCAGCTTCAAAGCCGGTGCGGGACGCCGGCATCACCAGCACCACCACTACCACTACTGCTACCACTACTACTACCTCTACTACTACCAACACCACTACTACCAATACCACTACTACCAACACCACTACCAACATTACTGCTACCAACACCAATACTAACACTACCAACACCAATACTACCAACACCACTACTACCACTACCTCCACTCCTACCAAAACCACTACCTCCACTACTACTACTACTATGGTAGTCGTGTAGTGGTAAGTGGTCGTGTCGTGGCTAGTGCTGCACCGCGCTACAAATCCACGAACCCAGTTCAATTCCCGCTCACCACTAATAACGGTGCTAATATCTGAACCGGTCCTGGACTTCCCCTAGGTCGACTCGGCCTTGAAAAAACGAGTACCTGGTGTGGTGTGTACACATCATCAACGGGCAGAAAAATGCGGTCGGGCATGGAGCTGGCCACCCACCCCCTTGTGTGCTGTGCTGGTCCTCGCGAACAGCACTTGCCCCTATGGTCTGTTAAAGGCTACACTGGGTATCTTTGTATTTGTGCACCTGCGCAGGCGACGAGCTGACCAAGCTGGAGGAGGAGGATGAGCAGGGCTGGTGCAAGGGCCGCATGGACGATGGGACGGTCGGTCTCTTTCCTGCCAACTACGTGGAGGACATCTGAAGCCCCTCCAAGCGACGCACGGACACCGCCGCGGTGGTGCCACGCCCAGTGGTGTCCGTGCCGGCGGCCCGCACGGATCCATGAGCTGGGCGTGCACATGCTTAACTCGCAAAGCCCCGCGTGCAGTGTGTGTGCAGTGTGCGTGCGCGCGTGTGGACGTGCACGGATGTATACACTTGGAGTGCATGTCCATGCGTGGTTGTACGTACACGCTGACCTGAAGGGGATAAACACGACCGTGAACATGTACACACACCACACATCTGTGCAATGGAACATACGCCCGCACGCACAGTGGCCGCACCACTGCCCCTTCCGTGCTGGTTTGTCCAGGACTTAAATACTGCCATAGTCACAGCCTATTCACCTGTACAAAATGTAGCTGAGGTAATTTAATATCGGGTCGCTGAAATCGAGGAGTTTATTTGCCCAGTAGCTGGGAGGAGGCGCCGGACGTTGAGGCACCGCCGCTCGCTGTGCAGGCGACTCCGCACATGCGGCCAACGTTGGAGCCCCCCCCTCCCCCCCCCCCCCCCGTTCTTCGTGTGCATGAATGGTGCGTGGCTTGTGACGTGTGCTGCATGACGTCCATGGTGCTTCTTGTCTCGAGCGTGCGCGCCGTGCGCACACCCTCTGCACTTCCAGTCCCGCGAGATCCTAACCCCCTCGGGGATAAAGGTGCAGCCGCTGCAACCACCGGCTCGCGCCCCTGCTGGCAGAAGGGGCCTCCGCCAGGGGAAGTTCCGCGTGGCGTGAGGTCCACCGAACCACGTCGACCATACGTGGTGGAAGCGGTGGACGTACCAGCGCTCTGATGACGCGCGGTGGGGAAAGCGACTTAGGAATCGCGAGACGTGGGCGCGTGCCACCAGATGGGTCCCCACACCCGCTCGTGAAGTACCACCCCTGCTCTCCGGCACGTCATTCCTCCCTGCGGGTCCATGCCTCCCATTGTCAGGACCTCGGCGTAGCCCCCCGAAGTCGTGGACGTTCTGTTGGGGATAGGCCAAGTGTCACGGGGAGCAGGGACACGGCCAACGTGGGTGCCATCTGTGTCCACTCCCCGTGGCAGGTTTGGCTCTGGCTAAGAGACGACAGCCATCCCTGCGGTTTGGGGCCTGCGCGTCTCCCTTTCACAAGGAGACACGAGCCCCGATCGTCGTGGTGATTGAACCGTTCAATGCAGAGTAGCTCACGAGCAGCAGGCTCAACGCTCAAGTCAGCAGCAGTCGTTGTGAACCTTTGGTGCAACTCTTCTGAAGTACGACGACTCTTATCCGTGACAAAGTGGGGTGGGGGGGGGGGGCGAACTTCGCAGAGCCTGTCCGTGATCTTCCCAGGAACCGGCAGGGACCATTCGCTTTGTAGGACGCTTCCAGCTTCCAAAGTGTGTGTCTGTGGCCTACATAGGGACATGGGACTAGGTTACACGGCAAAGGCCTCCGTCCAGCACAAGCAGAGAAAGTGGATCCGGGCCTTAAACGCTGGAGGAGCAGCACAAAGCTTTGGTGGCACGAGCAGTAAATACTCTGAACATTGCTTGTGCTCACCTCCCTGGCTTTCCACATTGACATTGGGAATTCCCGTCCGTGTCACAACCGGGAGGCCCTCAAGAGCAAGTGGGGAGGCGACGAGACAACTCTATTCGCTGGCAAAAACCAACTTGCCGTACTGCACGATTACGTTGACCCCACCCAACCTCCCCCCAATAATAAATAGCGACACGCACAGCGGTGCCGCTCAAACAGCAGGAGGGCCCGACTCCCATCGTGTCCTGCGTGCACGTCACGTGACCCCCACATTGCATGTGCAGTACCCGCTGCATGTTGGGGTGGCCCCATTGTTCAACTCTGAGTTACAGCCATATTGCTTTCAATGGCAATACACCCAAACATGCAGCCCTTGAGTGGGTGGTCTGGGCAAGGCTGAGCGCATTGCGCATGCAATGTGCTGGTCACGTGATATGCACGCAAGGCACTATCGGAGTCGGGTGCTCCTACTGTTTGTAAACAACATACCTTTGTGTTTATATATTTATATATATATTTGGTGATGCAGCGTTAGCAGTAGTGCACAAGCACGTATAGCAACACCCTAAATGGTGAATAAGACTGGCCTTAAAATGAATAATACAACATGCGACGTTTCATGCAATCGCCCTTAATGGCACACAGATAAAGAAGGAACGTCGCCTGTTGTGCATAATTTTTCCTTTCAAGACCATGGCGTTATGAACGCACGCGTTGGGTTCTGTGCTGTGTGGACGTTGTCGAACCGTTTCCAGCCCTCGCGCACCTTCCTGCTGCGATGGGATTTCCCATCGTTTACCGACAGAATGGCCGTGGTCGGCCGTGGGTGTAGGTTCGCGTTGCGTGTGTGGCGGTGACGCGCGGCCAAGGGGCCTCTGCCCTGGAAGCGCCTGTCGAAAACCGTTCCGTGCGCTTTCACCCTCCCAACACGTTTTATTTGTTTTTCCATGGAAAAGTCACTTACACTTTAGTCCATGCGTGTATGCAGCCGCACACTTCTCAGTGCCCAGTCCACACTCTTTGCTTCAGAGGCCGCTTCATGGACGTGCGATTTGCGTTCAGTTTCTGCAGCCGCTCTGGGCCGAGTCGGCGTCGGGGCAGAGGGGTGCACGACACTCCCTGCGGCTGGAATAGGGAACTGGATGGAATATACGGAGGTCACTGCTGTTTGCGTTCTCGTTCTAGCGTTATTTATTGATAGTGAATGTGCAATGGGTTCGTGTTCGATGGTCCCGGGTTGTTGTGGTTCTGGTTTTAGGGTTCTTGCCGTCGAGTTGGGTGGCCGGCGTCTGGCTACACGGGCAGTGAAGTGGCTCGCACTGTCGGGGTCGCAGACACTGCAGGAGTGGGATTTGTGTTATTGGCTAAGGGTTTGTGCATTGGGGTCATGGTTCGTGTGATGAAGTTCACGTCTTAGGTTCAGGGCTTGTTCTAGGGTCGGGGTTTGTTATCGTGTGAGGATTCAAGTTTTGGGATTTCGTAAGTCGGGCAGGGCATTCTCAATTAGAAATCTTCTCATTGTGACGACCATTCTGACCCGCCAGAGTGTGGTGAGCATGAGAGTGTTCCACTGAACTGTGCTCGTCTCTTCCACAACCCCATGGCGACATTTTCTCTGTGACCGTCTGTGGTCCCGGTCACCTCGACCCCCCCCCCCCCCCCCCCCCCCCCCCCCCGTGCAGCCGTGCTCTGTAGTTCGTGATCACCGTAGATTGAAGCAACACGTCGAGTAGTTACGTGAGTAATGCCATAGACTCGTCCATGTGCTTGGTTTTTGCTGTAACTTTACCATTAAATCTATAAGAAATGTGATAAATGAATATAAAATACAATTTCTTGAGTATATTAAAGTGATAAATGAGAGATGATTTGCTGGTCAATGTGAATTATAATGAACAATGTCATAAAATAAAAATATAAAATATGCTCGTGTGGAGGCTTTAGGGCGGATTATCAGGTCAATTATACTACAGGATCGTGACTGGTGGTGGTGGCGGCAAGTGCCTGGAGGAGGCCTTCATCTAGCAGTGGATTGACCACGTCTGACGATGTCACGGACCACCCCCGGTACTGCAGGCGCTCCGCTTGACGCCGCGGCGGACACCGAACCTCGGCGTGCCGGGCCGGGTGGGGGACACCGGCAGCTGCACGCCAGGGCCTAGAGCGGGTGCACGAACTGGTAGACGAGCCTCTGGGAGATCTCTGTCTTGCGGATGATGCCCTTCTTGTAGTACTGGCGGATGGAGCGGCTCAGCTTGTCATAGTTCATGGCGGGGCGGTTCTTCCTGATGCCCCACAGTCGAGCCACCTCCACCGAGTCCTCGATCTTGAAAATTCCTAAACAACAAAAACAACAAAGGCCGAGTTCCTGCACAATCCACTGCGGCCGTTTCACCGCCCCTTTACGGTGGTGACAGGACGAGGGGAGTTTTAGCCACGGCTATCCTCATGACATTCACCAGATTTCATCACCGCTCGGCTGAAACCGAAATGGTGCCTGCTTGTGCCACAAACCGCTCCGTGGAGCGGTGACGGGGCCCAGCGGGAGCATGTTCAGCGCTTGTTCGTCATTCGAATCCATCAGGCAGTCCTGGATAATTTTGCAAGTGTATCGACCATGAATATGCACCGTCTCCTTGGCGGTGGACGTTAAAGATTGTGGTATCTTTTTAAATAAATAGACCATTGTGGGCCGGTGTAATTGTCCACATTTTAAAATAAACACATTGACAGACTAATTCATTGCGATGACCTGTAGCAATCATCACCCACTCCTGGCAGACTCATGCACGCTTGCCGGCCAGGCGCTGAGTCACCTTATACCAGATGGACAACTGCCACTGGGGGTGCCTTTCTAATGTTGGTGGTGAGATGTGGTGTAAGGCGCTGTGAGTTGTGAAGGCATTTGAGCGGTGCCGGTTAAATGCAATAATAATTGTGTTGTTATACCACAGGAGCGGTTGGGACATCTCCATGGATGCTCGAGATGTCCCAACTCCCCAAAGCCCCTGAACTGTCCTCACAGCATGACACGGAAACTGAGAACACGCGTGTCCCGTGTCGGAGGAAAAACAGAGCCAGTGTATGGGTCTGGGGTGGAGGGTGCAGGAGTGAGAGAGGTGTGAGGAACGTTGTACGTGCGTAGGAGTCGGCGAGTGGTACCACACTGCACCTTTGTCACGATTCAGCCAGCGGATGAGGCGGCTGCCGTCGCGCGGGTTGAGAAGCAGCTCCCACAGGAACTGCCACAGGTGGATGGGCTGTGGGGGAACCGGGGGCTGTGCCCGGGGCAGCTCGGGGGCTCGGGTGGGTGGGGGGCCCTCCGTGTGGGTGCTGCCCAGCGGGGCTGGAACACAGGTGAGGGGCCAGATGGTGTCAGCTGTGACCCTCTGGACGTCGGTCGACCTGATTGTGTTTGTTCAGCTCAGTTGCTCTGGCGTCGCGATGATTGCTGCTGTGTCACCCAAATTTAGTAATTTGCGGTGTATTTTTTTCAAATTCGGAAAATGTTAACCTTAATACCGACACACAACCGTCGACTTACTCCTCATTTCGATTGACGTCACGAGATATGTAACGTCGACTGAATCATTCAGTGCGTAGTATTTTAAGGTTAATGCACCACTGTATTAACCAGGGTGACCTGCCAAATATGAACCGCGAACCTCTGCAACGAGCGGTAAACGCGCTCCCTCTGGGGAGCGCCACCAACCCTGGAGTTGGCCATTGTGTGACGATGCCCTATCTGACATTGAGGCACTCCTGAGAAAGTACGGAAATAAAAAAAAATGACAAAGGCAACTGATTGCCGAAGATACATAATCGTCAATGTGTGACGATCGTGGTGCGATTGTGCTCACCTGCGCACTTGTGGCTCGCGTCCCACGTGTAACCTGTGCCTCCGGCTGCTTGTTCTGTTAACACAAGTTACGCGTTCATTAGTCAGACGGAACGACGGAAGCGCACAGCCCAGGGAGATTTGCCATATTGCGGTCTTCCTTAGAAAATAGGCTTTTAGTCTTAATCAGCTCTTAACTGAAAATGTTTTTTTTGTATTGACGAGTGACCAACATTTTGGCAGCAGTGGTAACACTCGTGCCCTTAATGGCAATAAGCCCCTGGGTTAGATTCCCAACTCGGGTGGCCTCTCTGTGTGGAGTCTGTGTGTTCTCTCCCCCTGTTCTCCAAGGATTTCCTCTGGGTTCTCCGGTTTCCTCCCATAGTAACCCCCCCCCATGCATTGCAACTGATGTTTACCAAAAAACATCCCAATGCTGAAAAATAACCTGCAAATTACTCAATTGGAATTTCGCACAACAGCAACATCGCACGTACTGCAAAAACCTGGCAGGATCCTCCTGAATAAGAGCATTGAGAGGATTTCCTGGGTAAACAAGTGTTAAAACCAATAATTAATAACACATGTCATATACAACATATATTTGGTTGGATTTAATGTATGCTATATTTGTTCAAGCCTCAAAATACTACCGTGTTTCATACATATGGATAGTTTAAAGCCATTCGTTTAAAGTCATTTCTGAATAAATTACACTTTGATAAATATTGCATACGTAGCTTTCAGCAAAATACATTTAACACCACAAATGAGCCATTACTGCCTGGTTGACAGTGAGTGGTGCAATGACAACAAGCCACAAATATTTGACCGCAACCACAACAGAGGGCTATTTCCAGAGTCTCGTGAGTACATTTGGGTACGAGGAGGCAGCGTAAGTGGGCCGTGACAAAGCCGAGTGGGCACGCGTTCGCCGCTCGTCGCTGCAGAGATTTGCGGTTCGAATCCAGCGGGGCGCCCTGGTCAATACTGTGGGTGCATTAGCCAAACAAGACAGCAGACGTTAGAGATCCTGTGACATCATCCAGTGAAGAGTAGCGCATTCTGTGCTGGAGCCATAGTCCGCATTTTTAAAATAGCCTCGCAAAGCGCTAAATTGCAAAAACAAAGCAATTGTTGCCCCCTACTTTGAAAACACAACAGGATTTTCCTAAAAAGAGTGTCGAGACAGAGTGAGGCTTCTCCTGGGTAAACCCGTGTCATGAAAATAACGTACGATGGTGGTGAGGTGCTTGCGGCCCGTGCCAGGGTAAATTAAGTTACATTTTATTTTTTATTTTCGCAGCAGCACACGGTTGCACATCAGAAAGCAAGAAACAGTCTCCACCTCGGTGATGCGTGCAGGTGGATTTATCAACAACCTGTGGGGAGGCATTGGCTACATCAGCTTCCTCCACCAGACAGAGCCACCCCGAGATTCCTGGAGGCTGGCGACTGGAGCTCGGAGCAGAATGCCACATGGGACTCCCTTATTCATTAGTGACAAAAACAGGCCCATTGGGGGGGGGGGGGGGGGTCTTTGTGTGAGGCCCAGGGCACTGGTGCGTTCCACATGTGCTCCGCACTCCAGTTATCAGTCACCTGCACGCGTCACCACAAAGCGAAAAACCCGAAACGGAGCAGCGCTTTCCTCCTCCCAGGCCACCGGTGCCGATGTTGTCCTGCGCGGGGTCACGGAGGTCGCGATCGTCGGCGTGAGGTTCCCTGTTGAGCCCCGCGCCGTGTCGTGCCAGGTTAGAGTCGTGGGCAGAAGCATCCTGGAGCTTGGCAGCTACAAACGCACACAGAGATGCGCAAATGAAAAATGAAAAACTATCCTCTGGTCAGTGTGCAGAGACTGTGGTCACCACCCCGAACAGAACCATGGAACATAAAACAACTTAATGCCCGATTCACAAATACGAAAAAGGAGGCATCACAACGACTCACTATTCCTGACACAATCATCTTGCTCAATCAGCCCAAGGTAAAATGACAGCTGTTGCCCTAAATCAACGTCAGCCATACGGAGAAGCAGAAGAAGACAGCTGCGACCTTTACTCCCAGATGGGGTTGTTTCCTCTCCATGCGGTACGTACAACCGAGCCGGTTGGTGTCGCGCGCACCTGTCTTCCAGATGTCCAGGTGCGCATGGAGCAGCTCCCCGCCCGCGGGCGCGCGCGCCCTGAAGTCGCCCTCGCCCAGGAGGCAGAGCTGGGCGCCCCGTAGCCCCGAGAAGGCGGCGCCCAGCCGGGGAAGCGAGTAGTGGCGCTCGGCCCACGCCAGCCAGCGAGACGCCTCCACGCCGCTCCATCTCAGCGGGTCTGCAGCAACAGCCACCGCACCCACGCACCATGCCATGGATGAGGTAGCGGTGCGGCGCTGCGGTAACAACACCTCGAGCCTCACGGCAAGAAACAAATAGGTTCGATTCTCGACTCGGGCGCTTTTTTGTGTAGGGTTTCTATGTTCTCCCGCTGTTCTGCAGAGTGAGGGTGTGCGTGAGTGGCTAACACCAGTGACGAATATCTTAAGCGGTCTTGGGCCTCCTTTAGGTAGACTCAGCCTCAAATGAGTACTCTGTGCGATGTGTGAACATCGCCACTCAACAGTTTGTTAAGGCCAGACGGAGGCTCTCTGTCTCTTTGTCTTTGTGGGTCTGTGAGTGTGTCAGTTGGTGAGTGAGGGTGAGTGTGTCGGGACCGGGCGTTGTGATGATCATTCACCCCCTCATATGCCATGCCAGTCTTCATAGGTGTCCGCTTAACAGCTCTTGCCCCAACAGTCTGTTAAAGGCTACACGGGGGCTATCTGTCTGTGGTGAGTGCGTGTGTGTGTGCGTGGAGTTTGCTTGTTCTCTCCGATCTGTTTCCTCCGGGTTCTTCACATTCATCCCATAGCTTAAAATCACATACAATGCCACTGGTATTGGCCAAACATCCTCATGCTGACAAATTAACTGCAAATTACTCAGTCGGGATTACACAGTAACAACATCGCCTCTGGTGTGAAACGACTTCTGTAATGAGAACAGTGCCTACCTTCGTGATAGCCTTGAGCTCTTACAATGACGGTGCGAATACCAAATGTCCTAAATTATTCTTGTCGTGATTATTATTATCTGTCAATTAGATCTAAGAAACCCGGTTTGTAGTCCAGCTGTATGGATTCGTAGCCTAGGTTTGTGGGTTCGTAGTCCGAGTACCAAGATTATCAGTCCGGTTCATGCAGTGAGTAGGGTGCTGATGGTGCAGGATGTAGGGTGTTCACGATGCAGCATGCAGGATGTTTATCGTGCAGCGAGTAGGGTGTTCATGGTGCAGGATGTAGGGTGTTCACTATGCAGCATGCAGGATGTTTATCGTGCAGCAAGTAGGGTGTTCATGGTGCAGGATGTAGGGTGTTCACTATGCAGCATGCAGGATGTTTATCGTGCAGCGAGTAGGGTGTTCATGGTGCAGGATGTAGGGTGTTCACGATGCAGCATGCAGGATGTTAATCGTGCAGCGAGTAGGGTGTTCATGGTGCAGGATGTAGGGTGTTCACGATGCAGCATGCAGGATGTTTATCGTGCAGCGAGTAGGGTGTTCATGGTGCAGGATGTAGGGTGTTCACGATGCAGCATGCAGGATGTTTATCGTGCAGCGAGTAGGGTGTTCATGGTGCAGGATGTAGGGTGTTCACGATGCAGCATGCAGGATGTTTATCGTGCAGCAAGTAGGGTGTTTATTGTGCAGCATAAGTAGGGCGTTCATGGTGTAGCCAGGAGGGTGTTCATCGTGCAGCGAGCATCGTGTTCATGGTGCAGGGTGTAGGGTGTTCGTAGTGCAGCGTGTAGGGTGTTGATCGTGCAGCGTGCAGGGTGCTGATGGTGCATTGTGCAGAGTGTTGATTGTGAAGCGTGTGCAGGGTATTGATTGTGCAGCGTGCCAGTCGACGCTGTGTTTAAGTGGAGTACAGCTTGAACACCATCCGAAAAAGGAAGGTGTTTCGGTTTTTTAATATTAGGCGAAATGTGTATTTTATAACCTCTTTTACATACGTTGAATATTGTATACATTGTATTATTTTGTGTATCTCAAATGTTAACGGTGTAATGATGTTATGTTTACATGTGAAGCGCTCTGTGACGATGCTATCGTCAAGGGCGCTATAGTAAATAAATACAAATGTTTGGTGGGTGACCTGCTGGGATGGACAGGAGCTTGCAGGTGGCAGCGATGTCGCTGAACACCTCTCCCACTACCAGCGCCTGCACCTGCTCCAGGGCACTGGCACTGCCCAGTGCCTGCTCCAGCAGGGAGCTCTCTGGCGAAGACGTGTGATGCCCGCAGCTTTCGACCAGCTGGTCATCCTTTCTGGGCATGTGGCCCGAGTTCTTCACCGATGAACACAGCAGGCCGGCGAGCTCACCGTGGCCTGGCGTTCCACAGAACACCGGGTCCTCCTTTCCAGCGTGCAGCGCGATGGCGCACTGCATTGGTGTTGGCGTGCAGCCACCTGGGAGCAGCGCAGAGGGACGGCCTGCGTGCTGGTGTCGCCACGGCGCTTCAGGAGTTCCTGACGGACTGAGATGCGTGTTAAGACTGGCGGTCCGTTCGGCCGGGGAGTGTGGAGGCCTCTCCATGGCCTCAGGAGAGCCGGTGACGCAGGCCCTCTCTCTATCTCTCAAGTCTCCAGTGGCCGAGGGGAGCTCGGGCCGCGATGTCACTCCCTGACGAGAGAGCGCGCAGCGGTGGAGCACAAGATCGGGACTCGCTTTCCACTGCTGGCTTCTCTACGCGAACGCGTTGCCTGTCGGGCAGTGGCGTAGCTGTCGAGTGAGTGTGCAGGAGGTGTAGCTGCGCCGGAGCCCACAGGCTGGAGGGGCCTCGGTCGTGAGGTTACAAAGAGGAGAGGAAGTTGGACAGGGGGCCTCCGTTCAGTTTTCCCTCAAAGCAGAATTTGTCCTTATATTCGACTACGGTGACTTTATTTCTGTGCACATTGGTCGAAATGTAAACTTCGATAGAAGTCAAGGTATTTTGAAACATGTTCGTCCTGCAGTGGCCAATGTTCACCGTCGTCGTGTTCCCTGTGTGGAATCATCGTGGTGTAGGAATAGGAACCGTTTTGAATAGTGCCGTATCGAGTGCCACGTGTCTGGTGTTGCGAGAAGTACGGGTGTAGCGTACCAGCGTTTCAAGGCATCGCCTGCCCTGACTATGCTCTTGCATCGCGGTTCATATTCGCGGTTACACTTCTGCATATGCCTGGTCACCCATCGAGCAGAGTTTGGACAACTCAACAAACCCCCCACTGCACAGGGCTGCTGGAAGACCACATTTCTCTAGTTTGGACTGCAAACTAAAACTCGCCACTTGCCTCGAAGCGCTTGCGAGAAAACAACCTGCCCATCAATTCAATGAAATGTGAACACTCGTGCATCGCGTCCGCTGTGATGGACCGCTGTGATGCCTCTGCGGAGTTTTATGACAAGTTTCCCACACAGTTGGGTGATTTAACTCGTAAAATAGCATGAACGCAAAGGAATGTCGGTGTAGAACGAGGGTGGTTTTAAAGCAAATAATAATATCCAAGACATCCACACTGAAACTCATCAACTCTGCTCACTTATTTTAACTCTAAGCATTCCGATTATCATCAGCCAAGTGACCACTGCCGGCATTCCGCTATCATTATCATCATAATCCTAAACCATGGTCAATCTATTACTGGATGAAGCACCCCCCCCCCCCCCCCCACAAGTCGTGGCAACCTCTCACGATCCCGCGATGCAACAACCCACCCTGTACCTGGACACGAGCTCATTTCATATTTACATCACCAGGTGGTTGACCTCTAAACGCCTTTCATCCCTTGGCTGCCACTCCGTTATTATTCTTGACCATAAGCTGACGATATTCTCTCTCACACGTGATATCTGTGTGGAGCTACATTGCTCATGGCTGCGATACACTTTCACCAGGGCAAGTGACGTTCGTATTTATGAAAACCTCGGTTGGAGCACAATATATTTATTGCAAGAAAAGAAAACAAATCGCAGCAAGCAGAGGCAGATTAAAAATACATTTCTAGTGACTGACAACGTACTTGACTGATTAAGTAGTGAATTGATAACGCACGTGCGTAATGACGCACCTTCCTGAGAAAGTTCTTGATAAGAGTACTTGAGTGAAGGTTACCTGCGATGTCGCTCCATCAGTCGAGGAAAACCTCCCTTGAATCCTCCCGCCGCTTCAAACCAGGGTCCACAGCTGCTGCCGGAGGTAGGGATGAGGAACTCAGGTGGGACTTGGCCTTTCACTTCGGGAATTCAGGGAGGCGGAATAATGAACTGAGGGGAACTCGGGGGTCTGACTGAAGGACTCAGATATCTGACTGCAATCCTCATGAATCTGACTGAGAGCCGGGATAAGGACTTAGGGAGTCAGATGCTTGATTGAAGTACTCGACAAACAGATTGGGGGACTCGGGGACTTGGCCCCATGACTCGGGGGCTCAGGGGGCCGCTCCGTCGGTCCTCTGTGACCTGTGAGCCCGGTCTCGTCTCCTCGCCGTGTGAAGGCGGCAGCCTCCTCCTCCACCTCCTCCACCTCCTCCTCCTCCACCTCCTCCTCCACCGCGGCGCCGTCTCCATGGCAGTAAAGGCGGTTAGGGCGTCCGTGGCCATTGCGCCTCCGTGCCGCGGGCTTCATTACGAGATTCGTTTGAGCAGAGCTCGGATTAGAGACGGGGAACGTGGCCCCAAGCCCCGGGGATCCGAGACCACGACGCGTGATTAACGCGGAGAGACAGCGGCAGGGGAGATGAAGAGGGGAGGGGGAGGAGAAACGATGAGGGAAGGGAAGAGGAGGGGGAGGTGGGAGAGAACAGGAGAGGAGATGAGGTGAGAAGATGGGGAAGATGGGATAGTCAGAGAACGTGTAAAATATGATCAAATCGCGATGAGAAGACGAGAGCAGGGGAGGAGGGAGGGTGGAGCAAATGAGGAGAGAAGGAGAGAAGATGGAAGGAACTTCGGGAGAAGTTGACGTCAGTGCTGATGCACCGTAAGGGGGGGGGAGCACTCTACGAGTTCTCATGAACACATCCACCGATTAACACATCCACTCATTAACACATCCACTCATAACACATCCACTCGATAACACATCCACCCATTTACACATCCACCCATGAACACATCCACCCATTAACACATCCACCCATTAACATATCCACGCATTTACACATCCACTCATTAACACATCCACCCATTAACACATCCACTCATTTACACATCCACTCATTAACACATCCACTCATTAACACATCCACCCATTAACAACATCCTTACTGCACGGCGTTGGAGACATCGCAGCAAATTGCTGATGCAACACGTTTCTTCAGATGTTAAATGTGTAATCATTACAGAAAATCGCGGCCATCATTCTGCCCCCTTTTGGTGGAATCTTGTATCAAATCTACCCCTGGTATATTCCATCGTTTGGAATCACGCACGGCAGATTCGACACGAGGGAAGCCAATTCCGCTTGTCTTCTTTAGCCGGATTCGCGAGGGGTTAAGGTGGTGCCTAGATGGTAGAATAGCCAGATGTCCTCCCAAGGGTTATGGTGACATGTCCTCCTTAGGTTATCCGTACATCAGAAAGTAACCAGCCAGGTGGAGAAAGTTCTACCATAGCAAGCGCACGTTCTACGCGGTGATAGAGGCGGAATTTCCAGAAATCCGAAAATAAAATTGTTCGCGTGTTTGGTTCCACGACCTCTGAGATAGATGCGGCCAAATTGCTGCATTTCTGTTCATGAGTAATCATTGTTGTTGTCCACCCGTAGTCATTCAACACTGAGATGCCTAACAACATGTCTGCAAATACCACGGCCGCAGCCGCTAGACCCTCGCCATACCCGAGGGTTGATGTCCCAGGTAAAAGGGCGCTCCCCGGTAAACATACCAACTTAGGCCCAACGTTGACATGTGGTTGGAACCGTGTCTCCCCGTGTCTCTCTTTTTTCTGGAAGACTTTGCTGTTTTTTCCTGGATTTGTTCCGTTGCGCGTCGTCACTTTAAGATGTTTTCTTGTTCATGTTTTTGTTTGTTGCGGTTGCACCCAATTCAAGAGCCGAATGGCTGACAGGGCTATACCTAATAAATAAACTGAAACTGAACTGAACTGTTGGACTAACGTTCGATGTTCACTGGGTGTAAGAGGATGTGTGATTAGCACACGAATAATAATTGTTACTCCGTTGAGTGTTTGTGTCTTAGTCTCACACGCCAAATCCCCTGTCTGTATGTTGTTTTGAAGTGTATTGCGTACTGGTCTGCACTTTTGCATCGCGATTTCCTCTGCTTAGGGCCAAGTGAGCGCCCGTCCTTCATCATGAGCTCAGAGCTTGCGTTTCCCCGCATAATCAACACTGGTGCAGTGTTGGTAACACCACTAGAGTGTTATATGAGTCATGGTGACACTCTGAGGGTATCTATGTATATTGAACTTACTTCGCAACGTGCATAGCCAACCGTGCTAATCGGAGGGTGACCGTGGGGGACACACTGAGGCCAGGTAAACGTGGAACGTTGAACCAACGGTTTGGCCAACGGTTACATCCACACGTCAACGTTGGGCCAATGTTACATCTTTACTGGGGAATGACTGTGAGGGTGACACCGTGAGGGTGACACCTTGAGTATTGAAGGTTATTAATTTAAATTTTGATTTAAATTTAGTTAACCAGAGACAACGATAATCGGTGACGCTGTAATTGTGTCACCGCCATGGTGAGGGTAACCACAGCAACGCTGCTGCCGCATTGCCACGGTAACGGTAGCCAGGGTAATGGCGTTGCATTGCCATGGTGATCGATCTTCACATTAACCAGGGTGCTGCCACGTGACCGCCGTCATCGCTATAAGAGCGCGGCGGCGGCGCGCACGAATGACGTCAGTCTGGGCCTGTGCGGGGAGGCGTCAGCATGCCGAAGTGAGTCGCTCCTGAGCACCATCAGCTTTGGTCTATCCGCTGCTAGATGAAGGCCTCATCATTATTAGTCGTGGTCTACTCGCTGCTAGATGAAGGCTTCCCCATCGCCATCAGCCGTTGTCTATCCGCTGCTTGATGAAGGCCTCCCCATCATCGGCCTATGTATTTCTGCTGCTTGATGAAGGCCTCATCATCATCGGCCTCTGGCTGTCGGCTTCTGGATAAAGTTATTCTGCCATCTAATAAATAATCCACCTATCACCTGCAAACCAGCTGATATATCACTCCGTCTTCCCCTCGCAACAATCGGCTGTCCAATACAAGGAGGGCGTTTTGTAATACGAGTGTTCACGTCTAAAACAAATGTACAAGAGACATACCAGGAGATTCGGCAATGAAATCGGCTCGTGTGCTGGGTGGATTGTTACATCGTAGGAACATGAGGGATGGCGGCTTTGGGAGACCTTCAACCAGCAGTGGATTGATCATGGCTGATGATAATGACGCAGCCGATTCCGTGTCTAGAATCTGCCTTCGCTGTTAGATTGACTTGTCTCTGAGGCCTGTCTCATCCCTGTAGTGGGTGTCTTTTGTAGTTCAGCGTCTTCCGTGAGGGCGTGTAACGGCACTGACCATTGTCGTGAAGCTGGCACGGGTAACTTGGTTCATGTGTCCTCTTTCAGTGTCTGCGTATTGTGGGGTCACTGCGATTTTGACTTATCTCGTGTGTGCCCCCCCCCCCCCTTCTAGGTACTACTGCGACTATTGTGACACGTACCTAACGCACGACTCGGTGAGTTTCCAGCTGCAGACCGCAGTGCTCTGTTATGCTTATTGAATAAGCGCAGCCTGCGTCTTTAACAAGCTGCACGGGTTTGGTGTCAATACATTTGCGGTATTGCTGGGCGATACGTTTTTGGGTAGTATCTCGTATTAGGCATTTTGTGCAACGTTTCACACCACGTGTTGAAACCTTCAATACACTGATTTCGGTTCAGAACTTAAATTTAAAAAAAGCTCTGGGCACTGAATTCATAACTGTTGCTGAAATGAGTTTCATTCATGAAGCTCCCAGAACATGGAGTGAAACGTTGGACATGCCGAGCACCACGCGGAGAGCTATACAACACAACCGCAGACATCTTATGCAGGAGTAAAATCATAACGTGTTTGTGCGCGAACTTGTGTGCTGCATGTAACAACGCGAGATCTGTGCTGTCAGCCCTCAGTGCGCAAGACGCACTGTGGCGGTCGCAAGCACAAGGAAAATGTGAAGGACTACTACCAGAAGTGGATGGAGGAGCAGGCGCAGAATCTCATCGACCAAACGAGTATGCGCATCCTGTCAGCCAAAATGAACACAACTTCCCTTTGTCCAGTTAAACGGTTACCGGGATCCGTTGGATTTGGCTCGCTAGCTGCAGCTTTGGTTTCCCATGCAGAGCAATCGCAGGGTACACGCTGAGAATGTAACTGCATTGCCTTTGGTGACATGGCTCGGTGGTAATGCGTTCGTCATTTCTTGCAGCGGTTCGCAATTCAAATTTGGCACGCCTCCCTCGTTAGTACTGCGGGTGCATATTAACCCTAAAATATGCAAAGGCTCGATTTAAAGCTTTTGTGACTGCAGGGATTCATATTCTTGGTTCTTTCAAAATTAAAAAAAAAAATTCTTGCTGTGGTCTTCACACCTGATGATGATTGCTTGTGTTGCATTTGAAACGTCGTGAGAATTTGTTTTTTTTTATTTCCCTTCTGCGTGACTTTACCGAAAGAACCAAGAATATGCAAAGGCTGGTTTATAGTGGCTATTAAAGAACCTATGATCTCATTTGAAATTATTAGGCCATTCTGTGGTCGAAATTTTAGAAAAATTGCCTGCAAAATACTCAACTGGGATTAAACATTCACATCACTCCCTGTAAAACTACTGCAAACTGAAATACAGCATCTTTCTGATAGCCTTGCAGTGTAAGAATGCACATATTAATTGCACTAATGGTTTTATTTGATTCTCAAGCTGAGCACTGCTGACCTAAAGACCACTGACTGTTTTTTTTAATATAAGTTTTATTATTCTAGTATTTTGTCTTCACAAGCATTTGCAAACAGAAATTGCCTCAACAGTATTATGTAGGATACATAGGAGATGTTCTCTTTACGTGCACGTGTATAGCTGCTGCGTTCCAGCAAGGCAAGATGGGATCTGGTCCTTCTGCAGCTGGAGGGTCCATGATTCCGCCTCCCCCAAGCCTCGGCAAGTTAATTTCCTCCAACTGTGTTCTTTCAGGTTGGGCTGCGTGTTGAGAATATCTTCCACATGCTTTCACCACACACTACTGAGGATGCCCTCGGTAGCGTGTGGCGAAAGTCTGAGAGAATAAATTCTCAACGCGTGGTCTTGTATAGAAGACCACACTTGAATTAAAAGTGTTTGCTAAATTTTTATGTGCCAAAAAGTGAATTTCCTCATTTGCCTTCTCAGGACAAAATGTTGTGTACCCTGGTGCATGGATACTATAAGTTTGATATGAGTGAATATTTTTATACTTGCTTTGTTCCACATGGGTTCAGGAGGGCCTGGCCGACCACCACTACTGGCAGCACCCATCGGAGGGCCCCCCATGATGCCTTTGTTGGCGCCGCCCCACGGTATGATGCAAGTTGGACCGGGTAAGATGAAAGCCATGGAATATCGTAAAATTGCTTTTTGCATTCTAAAGTAACTGAAACTAAACGCACATCCAATTAGAACCGTTGGACATGTACAGTGTGAAATAAGTTCATCATACATACACATGTCATGAAAAAAGGCTAAATTATTAAATAGCCATGTGTCAATGGCAAATCGTTCAAATAATTAGATTTCATATAAATCCTCTAAAAACCTTTATTGTGTTCCACTTGAAATGTTGGCATGAAGTACCCACCACAGTGGATGTACATTTTGTTTTCCTTGAGTTGTTTTATTCAAGAATTAGAGCAAATATTTGTACGCTTACTTACAGTAGCTTCAAATTTACAGTTTTTAAATATTATCCGTGGAGTATATTGGTTTAAAAAGAATATCATTTAGAAATGGAAACCCTGCAGTTGATACAAAATCAATACTTAATGTGCTATAAATATGTAAATATATATGGCATATGAACACTTTGCACCTGGGAGTGACCTCTTATTCTCTGCTGCTCACAGTCTGGAATTTCCTGACCCAGCCATCTGTGTGGTGTTGACTCCCTTGCCCCTTTCCAAGTCCAGTCCTTAGACCTTTTTTTCTATGTCTATGACTGACTGCTTCGAAATGTGTAATCTTCCCACTGTTCTCTGTACAGCGTCATGAGATGCAGTTGTATTTCGATGCT